TCCATAATAAGTAATATGCTTAGTTGAAAAAAAGGAGCACAAATTCTTAAATGGACCTGATTGACACTAATTTATGGTGGACCACTAAAATTAGAGAAATTATGATTGTTTTATTAATAAAAAAAGTCACTATAATAATAATAATAAAAGTCACTATTTTGAAATAAAAGTCATTTTGGTAATATATATAGGCTAAAAGAGGTTAATTTTTGTAATGAAATATTTTATATACTGGTCAATATGAATAATAAATGCCACTATGTTAAAATTAGGGTCATAACCTCGTATTTCAAGTTCAAAATAATATTAAACGTTATACAAGTTTTAATAAAAGTTACTATATGTTTAAAATAAGGTTACTATGTTAAAAATAAGGGTCACTATGTTCAATATAATGTCAGTTGCGTTTGTATGAATCTCGGGTCCTAGCAAGTCTTTCTGACAAAGGAGTATATTTAAATAGATCTGTGAACATATGAAATATGTAGACAAATATGTATTGTACACGCACACACACACATATACTCCGCATATAAATAGTCGTTAACATACACTACTAAAAATAGCCGTTAACATTCAAATTGCATTGTTGTTTAGTTGTAAAACGTAATAAGTAAGAAGAAAAGGAGGGGAGACCAACAACAAGAGCTGACAAGTGTCAACTTTTGGAAGAAAGGTGTGGGGTCTAATTCTGAGGAGTATGATAGGAGTACTACTCCATATTTGGAGTATGCCCCAAAATACTGAGTGATTTTAAAGGGAGGAATGTTAGACATGTATAAATGCATAACAAGGAGGTACTAATATAATTATATATATGTACAAACGAATGCATCTTCTGGTATCATTGGATGATCAAATTGTAGCACTGAATATACAGTGATACTACATATGCATATAATGGTATTATATATCACTACAAAAATAAAAGCTTTTTAGCAACTAAGTTTGGCAACAATTTTTAAAATGTTGCTAAATAGCAACAAATCTAAATTTTTTCATTGCCTAATTAAAAGCGACATTTTATGCTTTAGTTTTTAATAAACAATGGCTACATATTTTTGATCTGTTGCTTTTTAAAACAAATTGTCTTATTAGTTGTTACTAGACGACATCATATTTTTCTCTTGTTGCCAAATAGTAACAAACTATGACAACAAATATTTTATTTGTATTGATTTAAAAACAAAAAATACAATGAATTTTTGAATTGTTTCCATTAGAAACAAGTCTTCTAAATTATTGTTGCTAATTGATAACGCATTATTTTGTTTGTTGCCATTGGAAACGAGTTGTGTTACATATTGTTGTTAATTTATATGTAAGCCACTTTTTGCTGTAATGTATAAAATTATTTGTTGCTATAATGACATCAAATAGAGATGGATTTTAATTTCGTCTCTAATTTAGAGACGGTTTTTTTTATTTTGTCCCTAATTTGGAGACAAATTTTTCAATTTCGTCTCTAATATTTTGTTCACTTATTATAAATTATATGCATAGAAGTAAACAAATAGTACTTGGTATAGTTGGTAAGAGATTCACAATCTGACTTTGAGGTCGCAAGTTCGACTCCTACCAAATGCGATTCTTGAGACTAGGGATTCAAAGAGCCTTACATGCAAAGTCGAGCCGAGTTGACCTAACCTAAGTGAGATTTCAGATTGGTAAAGGTATTTTTAGGAACCAACATTAATAATTTGTTGCTATTTTAGGAACTAACATTAATAATTTGTTGCTAATTTTAGCAACAACCAATGGTAATCTGTTGCCAAAGTTGGCAACAAATGCACCAAAAACAGCAACAATCATGAAAACTATATTTAAATTGATGCAATATTGCACAAAATTGCTTTGAAACTGGTTTCCAAAATCCCATGGCAACAAGCCTTTTAGAAACAACAAACTTTTGTTTCCAACCCGTTGCTAAATAGAGTTGGCAACGGATTTTTGGTGAATTGCAACAAATTTTAGTTTATGCCATATTGATTTTTTTTGTAGTGTATGCATTCGGTTGTACTAAATTTATGCATAAATAGTACCACTGGGGAATCAATGGTAATATATAAACTTTTAGCGGAACAATCTGACCAAAAAATAGGTGGGTCCACCTACAGACCTCTCTCTTCCTATCTCTCTCCTCTTTTCTCTCTCTACCATGTGTTTTTAAAATATTTTAATCAATGTTATGTATTTACAAATACATAACATTCATCCATTTCCACTTCCTCCAAAAGACTCCAATGTGGAGTACTTTTGCAATTTTACCCACAATGGGAGTATCCTCCCAAATTGAAGAAAAATGGGGGGGGGGGGGTAGAGTCAATGTTATCAAGATCGGGATTCTACTTAGATCGGAAGATGGGAGTAGGATCGAATCGTAAAATTAGATACAAAAATTGCAAAAAATAAAACTTTACTAAACTGTTTCAAATATTTATTCATATTTAAACTAAATTAAGTATATAATAATAATATTTCAATTTTTTTAAAGTTATTTCCTTAAATACATTACATGATGATAGTGTATATATACACAATCTAAATTTATAATACTCTTTGTTAATTTTACATTCTAATTCAAATAAATAAAATTAAACTCTAAAAAAGAAGAGAGAAAAAAATGGTACTAGTTGTGGTAGACCTAGTAACATAATTCATACTTGACTATCATTTTACTTTTTTGTGCTAGAGCTTTTCATGTTTATAAAATCCAAAAAAAAAATAGCTTCCACTCACTAAAGATTATTAAAAGGTTTATATACATTTTACATACTTGCAATAGAATTAGATAATTAAATTCATTGTAACATAATCAGCTACTTTGATCAAGTGAAATTCGAGTGAAATCAGGCAGGGTTGTATCCACGGTATCTACCAACCAAGAACAATAGTAGGCCCACAAATTTAGCTTATTTTAAACAAAAATAAACAAAATAAAAAAAATTAAGGGGAAAAAATAAAGAAAAAAAATAAATTGGAAAGAAACCAGATGAGCAAGCCCATACTAAGTCCACTAAGAAAAAAATGTTCCTTTTAAGCTTATTTTGTAGAATCGATAGAATCGGCCATAGTATCGTAGAATCGTTATCGATCCTACCGATCCTGCACAATTCTACCGATCCTATGGCCGATCCTAGTACAGATAAATTCTATGGACGATCCAGATCGACTATGTGTATTAGAATCGTAAAATCGCACAGTTCTACGATTCAGATCGCATTTTGATAACTATGGGTAGAGTACTCCATCCCGTTGCAAGTGCTCTTAAGGAAAGAAAGGATCTTTGACTCTTTGGCCCAAGAAATTAATTAAAAAAAAGACTTGTGATTTCTTTTCTTAAGAGTTGGCTAATAAATGACGAGTAAACATATTAGTGCACTGACTTTTGTCGCAGGAACTTTTTACTACAGAGTACAGACAAACATGACACAGATAAATTATGCCTTTTCGTATTTGATTCTGTTGGCACAAATATGAATGCAGCATATTTGATTCTGTTGGCCTTTTCGGCTAAAAGCAAGGAAGCAATTGTTTGTCTCTATAATACCCACAATCTCTATAATGCGATAGTAATTTTCATAATTATTGTTGATAGATAAACCCAACTTCTAATATGTGGAATTTGTAAGCTTATACATGAATATATCTTTCTTATGAAAACACTTGATAATAAATTAAATAGATGTACCCATAAATTTTGATTGGAGTCAAATCAATTTACCACTTTCAATAACATTTGTTGTACTTTTAGAAGCTATATGCTAATGACTTACTCGCACTTTTATTTCTATTCTTTAGAAAGAAAAAAAAAGGATGGATTGTTTTAGCCACAAGCACTGGCAAATAGCGGAGCCAGGTGGATACAAGGCAAATATGTGCACCATAAGGAATGAGAAAAAGAGTTGGTTTAATAGTTCAAGGGCTTATAGATATTCTCTATGGTCATGTTCAATCCCTTTGAGGCTTTGACCAACATTATTTATTTCTTATTTTTATTTTAAAGTTTTCCCCTTTTCATGTTTGTTTCCTTACTTTATACATTCAATTAAAAGTAATATGGAGTGTAATGGCATCATGTTCTAACTTTTAATTGCCTTAGTAATTTACATAATTTTTTGTCCAAAACCTGTAGCATTTGACCGGGTCTAGCGGACATTTTGACTCGGATCGAAAAATTAATTAAAATTCTTAAAATATCTTGTCCATGACCCGCCAAAAAATAATAATTTCCGACCAAAATTTTATGTGCTAAACCCACCCAAAATCAAAATGGGTCAGGTTAGGTCCAACTCGATCACCTCAATTAATAGATAATAGTAATATGGTAAAGGATTAGTAACCCATCTTAAGAATTAAAAATACAGTTACTTAGGGCTTGTTCTCATACGTTTATTTTCAGTTCAATTCAGTTCAACTCAGTTTAGTTTATATCTAATGATATTGCTAATGATATAAAACCAAATTTCATTCTTTTAAGCTCTTATAACAACAACGACAATAATAATAATAATAATAATAATAATAATAATAATAATAATAATATTGATACAATTCATTGTTCAAATGGTTATATTTTTTTATACACATTTTTACTGTTAAACTCATTGACAAAATAAGAGTACTACACAACTTAAACTAATTTTATTATTTAATTAAATAGTATATGTTTTTAAAATGTTTTGGGTTTCATGTTAGGGTTTCATGTTATTGCTATATTTTTCATAAATATTTTAATTATGTAGTATATTTTTCTTAAATTTTTTAATATGTGTATTTGTATATACACATATGTATAATAATAAATAATCAAAGATCACTAATCCGTGGTTAAAAATCACTAATTAATAAGTTCAGTTCAATTTAGTTCATTTCAGTTTATTTTCAGCTCAGTTCAACTCAGCTTAGTTCAATTCAGCTCAATTTAATTCACTTTAATTGAGTTTAGTCAACGAGAACAACCCTTAATACTAGTACAAGGGTACAAGCTGTCTAAATTTTGAAAACACTTTCTCACTCTCTTATCCGTAGACGTTTGCTCATTGTCTCTCCTCTAAACTCGGACTTCACTACTCTTCTTCTCTCCACTGTCTTACCTCAAAGCTCACCTCTAATGGCGACTTCTTCACTTTCCTCTGCAACTTCCTATCTTCACTCTTTCAGCCGTCGCAACTCCTCCAACATCTCTCTTCAAGGTTCGTTTTCTTCATCAAATTCATCTTCTTCAATTTTCTACTTCATCTTCAATTCATCATTCAATGATATACTGTACAATTTGTAATTTTGAAAATAAAAACCCTAATTCCATTGAATTTCATGTCATTTCTAATTCTGGAATCCTTGAAAACACGAATTGGAAAAGATTTAATTCATGAGTTTGTGAATTTTGGCTTATTAATGTAAGTATTAGGTATCCTTATTTGATTTTTGAGTATTGGTCCATCAATTGGATGATTTTGTATAGGGGTTAGCAATGTGGAATGTAAATTTGCGCAAAACCAAATTGCAAGAACCAATGTTTCAGTTTGGAGGTCTGCTGCTAACTATGTTGGGATGGATTGTGGTGTGAAGAAGTTTTCTGGGAAGGCTGTTGTTATAAAACATTTGCCGAACCGGTATGATTGTCACTTCGGTGTTGAGTCCTTTCGATTTTTGTTGAAATTTGGGTTAAGAAACTAGTGACTAGTGAGGGTATTATTACAAAGTTTTGATGTACTTTGGTGGTTTTACTTCAGAGCAGGAACTTTTAGGTGTGCAACTATGGAGGAAATCGAAGCTGAAAAGTCGTTGATAGAGACGGATACTGTAAGTTTGCTTCCAGAGTTTGAGTTTTGAATGTTACTTGGACTTGGGAATCATTGTTTGCATTTGTTGCATTATTGTGTATGCTTGTCTAGGTGTGGAAATTGATTGTTTGTGAATGTTTTCTTTTTAAGAAACAAAGGATGGAGAAGACTATTGATACAATACGCTCAAATTTCAATTCTGTAAGGACAAATCGAGCTAATCCATCAATGTTGGATCGGATAGAAGTACGTTTCGTTGATCTCCCTGCAATATCATATGTTTTGTTAATTCTTGTAGTTCATTTGAAGTAATCGTTGTGGTATGAATGTCTACTCTTAATGTCTTATCTACAAAACTGGGTTCAATGCCTAATATAAGTTTCCTTTTTGATTTTGCAATTTATTTCTGATTCTAGTTTCTTGCTATTTGAACTTTCCTTTACCTAAGTTGACAAATATGCCTGAACAGGTTGAGTATTACGGAACTCCAGTCAGCTTGAAAAGCATTGCTCAAATAAGTACCCCAGATGCCAGTTCTCTTTTGATTACACCTTATGACAAATCAAGGTATGATTTCTGAAAGTCAAATTCTATTGGCAGTGTGGGTTTTACTTTTATCTATTGTAATTGTATAGGGGACTTTTATGTCGCTGGTGGGTATAGGGGGAAGTTAGCTTGTTGCTTTTATAAATAATGATTGTTATTTTACACTATTCCGACTTAGGCATTATGGAATCACACTCATGTCGTAACAATGATAAGGGTGTTGAATACCTTGTACAGCACTTGAAAAGTTGAACTTACCATTGGGCACTTCGTGGCACTGTAATTCACAAGGAAGTTGAGAGAGGGCAAAGAAGAGAAGCTTATAAAAGTGCAATTAACCTAGTGGACTAGATTTGCTACTTTGAGTGCTTTGATTAGGATTAGAGTGTTATATATATGCATGGATCTAAAAGGATTTAGGGAAATGAATTGGCATTAGCTTTTAACTTTCTTCAAATATTTTTGGAGGAATGTATATAGTTATGAATTCATGATGTTGATGACAATATATTCATTCTTGGTCCTGTGAATTTTTTTTTGGATGGTGAAATTATATGTACCCTAAAATCGCTTGTCTTGGTTCTGTTCTGAACATTTAAGCTTTGATTAAAAAGATATCCTTTTTTCAAGATTGTGGTTTTTCAATGAGTTTGATGGTGAGGACAAGAGCCTTGTAGTACGTATTGAAAGAAAGAGCCTGAAAGTAGTTTCACTTGAAAAAAAAAATAATGAATCATCAAATTCTGATATTCAGATGCAAATTTCGACTCTTCTCATTGTTACATTCTTCAATATATGCAATGCTCAATCTGTGTAGTAAACTGAATCCACATAAGTTTTCTTACTCGTACTTAATTTATGTACACGGTCAATAGATCTCACTCGATATTTGTTTTTCCAGCTTGAAGTCAATAGAGAAGGCATTAGTGAGCTCTCAACTTGGTATAACTCCTAGTAATGACGGTGAAGTTATCCGGCTGTCCCTGCCTCCCTTAACTACAGATAGAAGGAAGGTAATCTTCAATAATATTATATTCTTATACCATAGAGAAAGTCATTTGTTTGGTTATATAAGGCTCAAAGCTGTTAATGAAAACCGTGCAGACTTGCTCTGACAAGATTTGGCAATTGGGTGCATAACGATCTATTGAGATACTTTTTTCCTCTTATTAGTTCTGCTACTTATCCAATCCTTATATTCTATGTGGAGTAGTGGACTTTGGCATGCTATAAAGCCTATAATAACTTTTATATTAACGTTTTTACTCTAATAAGCTGTCTACTTTGTTGTAAAATGACCTTGGCAAATGGTTATGTGCAGACTCTAGATACAAATTGATAGTCTGCATTTGGGCATTTTAGGGTATAAGAAATAAGTTGAAAGGAAATAGATATTATAAGGAACAAAATGCGGTATGATGTTTCACTATTCATATCTGGCCCTCCCGAACAAAGCTGAGAATGTATTGTATATCACACTTTACATATGTCATTCCACTTCATGTCCTCTGGTATCAATCAATGGTTCAATTAAACTAAATTTTTCCCCAATATTAGTGTTGTAAATGCTTTATGCTAAGTAACACCTTCACTTTTATCCAATCATCACCTTCACTTTTATCCAATCATTACAATATAAACAGTGACCAGATATAAATCAATTTCAGTAGATAAAACTGAGTGAATTTTCTTCTTAGAAGCTGGCTTTATAATTTATATCTACACTGCTCATTTCATACTAGTTTCTTGGAATATTTTATTTGACTTCAGTATTAAAATTCTTGCATCTCTGTTGCAGGAGCTTTCAAAAGTTGTTTCTAAACTCGCAGAAGAAGGAAAGGTTTGTTTTCATCTAGTAATTTTTTATACCTTTCTTTTTGGTATTAATTTAAAAAAATAAAAATCCAAAGCTCGATAAGTAGTACTGAGTACTGACAGCTCATTATTAGATGAGCAGCTGGTCAGTAGCCTAAATCTGAAACTTTGGCTCTAGTCTCTACTACATCTTCTAGGGAAATGCTTTATTTGTATCTCTTGTCAATACCCTGCATACCTGTGCTGATGGGCTGACCATGTTTGCATAAACCAGCTAATCAGCAATTGAACTTCTGATGGTTAATGTTAGGCCTTATGTTGATCAGAAGAAGCCATTTGTATTGCATTTATTCTTTAATAGCGGAATTTAATAGTTTGACACATGTAGGCTTCTGTATGCATTAATGCATTATCAGTTAGAAAGGAATTGTGGCTTAAATGTCTAGGTAGTCCCGGCCACATTAAAATTACCTTCTGGGGAGGTCCGTTTGATATCCAAAAACTGCTCAGCAACAGTTGGACACTAGATGCTTCTCCCATTTATGTGAGCATGCGTCTCACGGGTTGAGATTGAGAGGTTAGTGAGGATTCAGCAATCCCCACAATTGTAAAATGTTCCCACAAATTTTTTGTTAAAGGTCACCCCATAAATGTAAAAAACACTTGGTAATTGATTTAATTAATTACTTCCTCCGTTTCTTTATAGTTGCAACATACACTGTATCACGGTATTTATGAAAAGTGGACCTTACATAATAATATAATACACTTAAAATGGGGTTTAGAGGTTGTTAGGATTATAATCAAGTGGGCCATGAGCTATAAAGGTGATAGTACAATTTTCACCTTCAAAACCTTCCTTTTATAGTGGGTTGCAACTATTGTGACATTTTCATTTTAGGAAGTTTTGCAACTATAAAGAAACGGAGGAAGTATTAGTTTCATCGTTACAGATTCTGCAAATTCTTTGTAAAGTTGACTTGCATAAGCCCCCCACCAACAAAAAAAAAAAAAAAAAAAAAGTGAATAATTTTTGTAGAATTGATTCTGCAATCTGCATTGATGCATAAGCATAACTGAGTTTAGGGTTTTAAATTGTCTTTACAAATTATACAATTTAATTCTTGCATACTAGCTGATCTGCATGCTTGTGGACTTTGCTCTATAGATGAGATAAAAAGAGCCAAGCTTCAGCTGACCTTCCTATTAGCATAGATAATTTAAAATCAGAGCTTAATCCAACATTGTAGTAAGTAACTCTACATCTTGAGATCTGCAGCTTGGTATATCACTCTTTCATACAGCACTCTGAGATATGTTGTAGTTTGATCATTTTTCTGGTGGCAAACTAACAAGTGCTTGTTCTCTTGCAAAATTTGTTCTCATAGGTTGCAGTTAGGAACATAAGAAGAGATGCTCTGAAGGCTTATGAAAAACTTGAGAAGGTGTTGATCTTTTAATCAGTAATTCTGTAGTTTTGACTTTATGTGAATGTTCACTGAAATTTCTTTGTCTCTGTCTTTGTCTTCACAGGAGAAAAAACTATCAGAAGACAACGTGAAAGACCTATCTGCTGATCTACAGGTAATACTATGCTTCACAACTTTACAATTGATGCATTTAACCAAGTGGTGTTTACGACTGGGCCTTGTGTGTTTGGGGGTGTGGGGGCGGGAGGTTGTCTGATTGATCTTACACGTCAATACGTCATCCATGTGACTTAGGGGCAAGAAGCTGGCAGGTTTTTATATGGATAAGAACTTTTAAGATGACCTTTTAGAAAGCCAATGGATAATGCAGTCATGTAGCTGTGATCTATCTGGGAAGATGAGGTTTGGTTTGTACTTGGTTGCTATATTTTAAATATGAAGATATATGAAGTTCTGAATAAATGGTCAACTCAAGAAAGAAAATACTACCTTTGTTTCATATTATTTGCTACAAAGGGGTATTTTATTTGTGAGACATAAAATATTCCTTCGTTGCAAATTATATCAAACGGAGTTAGTATCTGTATGAGGTGGTAGGATTTCAAGAAAAGGAAGTGTATACATGTAAATGTAAATGTAAATGCTAGATCATCTGCATTGTGAAAGTTTTGGGCTTGGCTATATCTGGTCTAACAGCTTTGATGCATTGGGGTGAGATGGTGCTCACGATATATGTGCAATTATTCAATATCTGCCAACCGATGTAGTATATTGTGGCAAAAACTATCAACAAGCAGTGTTACTCAAATAAAAATCATTGACTTTAGGCTGTTTAAAAAACAGAAAACTCATTTAGGTAGTTTTTTTTTTTTAATTTTTTCAAAAAGTGGAGTAGTTCTAGGGAGTTAAAAAATGTGCTACCTTTATTATACCCTTTTTTGATATTTTTGGAGAGGACTTAGCCACTGGATTTATATTGTTTTATTACAGAAGCTGACTGATGAGTACATGAAGAAGGTTGAGTCTATCTACAAGCAGAAAGAACAGGTACTGAGTTAAATCTTTCTTGATTGTGATTTATAGCAGTCAGAAACAGGTCTAATTAAATTTACTCTTTTTCATATGCATGTGATGCTCTCTGTTGTGAGGAATGAGCCTAACTGCACAAGCGTTTATTACTCTTATTTTTTCTTGGGTCGAAATCTTATTACTTTTGTTTAAGTGGAATTATGAGGAAATTAACCTGTTAAATGTGATTTAAGCTGTTCTTAATTCACTGAGATTGTCGCTCTCAGTCCTCATGCTCTTGAGTTTGAATTAGCTTCACAATTTCATTGGTTACATATACATGAAATGTAAACAAATTTTATTTCTTTGATATTTTGTCCTTTCATATGATGATTTTGATTCATATTTCCTTTTCAGGAGTTGATGAAAGTCTAAGAGACTAAGAGCTGAAAGAGCTGTAGCTTTGCAAACGTTACAACTGTGGCTCCAATGTCCTTAATGGTAAAATATGATGCTAGAGCTTTCCTTGGCGGTTTCTCTTGTGAATAGCACTCAAATTTCTCGAAAATAGGTTTTGATTTATCAAACCTTGATAGAAATGGACTACTCTGATTATCATGTTTGTAATAGGGTCTAGTGGAATATTTTTTTTCTGTTTTTTTTTTTTTTTTTGTTGGAAGATTCAGTGGAAGATGATAACCACTTTAAACAGTTGAAAAATTTGCTCATACATACTTGATAAAGCTTGTAAATGTGCCTCTTCTTGTGTAATTGCTGCCGTATACTGTGTAGTTCAGTTGCCCTATTAATCTGTTATAGCAAATTAGCAATATTGGTAGATTGCTTATCATTTTGCACTTAATTGTTATTTCGGTCAGGTCAAAAGTTGATTTTTATACTTCGTATAATTTGTAACTATTTACGGCGACTTAAGGATATGGCTTTAATCAATTGGTCAGTCAGTATTAGAATGTAACACTGGGAAACCCAGAAGTTCTAGTGCTATCTCAGCCCAAGTTTTGAAATCTGCTAGTGCTAGGTGCCTATGTTACGCAACGCACACTTGTTGATGGTGCTTTTATGGAAGATGGTCAAGTCTCCTACCTCTCTCTTTGTATTGTCTGAAAGTTCAAATTTCATTAAGTTGAAATAAGACTTAATGTTTAAAGGACTTAGACAGCAAATATAGATTGTTACTGAAACAGAGGGTCAAGGGAAATAGCAGCACAACAGGGCAAGGTGGAGACTGGAGAGAACTATATAGGAACTTTGTCATCCATAGTATTCCATACATGTACGCATGAGTACCTTGCTGGTATTGAACGCCTTCAATGCTATATTTTCCGACCAATATCTTTAACAATGAAGTTTCTCAAGTAGTAAAGACTACTTGCCTAGTTAAACGAAGGGCGCCCCAGTTGATCTATTTGATGGACAAAATACGTAGATCTAATGGTGGTGTCATATGCTGAATCATATAAAACTTATGAGTATAATACATAAACCTAACGGAAATTTGATTTATTATGAGTATATAGCCAACTTATGATTTATTATACTCATGCCGAATCATATAGAACTAAAGTATAATGAGAGGCATTTCAAACGGCTAACAATGAGCCTCATTTGGGGTGTCTAACAGGCTAATAGGGGTGAGAATGTCATTTCGTTGCAAAATTAGACAGTTATCAAATGGTACCAGTGGAATTTCAATGATGCAAAATACACTCTCAGTAGTAATGGTTTCCACAATTTTTTCTCTATTTTGCAGGTTAATTTATATCTGACAAGAAAGAGTGAGACTCACACCACCTTTTTTCACTTATCCTATCTCTCTTCTTTGTACCTTTTTTCACTTTTCCTATATCTCTCTTCTTTGTACCTTTTTTCACTTATTGTGTGGCTCACAAGTCACAACCCTTCATTTGCACTTCCTCGTTGTATGAAGGCTAGCATTACTTGACTCTGTATACACAAGCTTCCTTCTCCTTCCCCAATCTCCACCCATCTTCCACTGACACCACCATTTTCAACATCAAAGTCTTCATGTCCATCTTCCACCATCATCTTCTTTGTCTCCATCCTCCACTAACATCACTACCATCTTTGGCTGCTTAACGAAAACCCTATGAAAAATGAGTTGAATGTCTCAAATGGGTAGGACTGCCGTAGGGGTGACCATGTCTTCTATTGAAGCTGCCATTGATCTTGATTTTCTCCATCTCTATTGTTGCTTTACACTCCCAAGTAACATTTGTTCACATCCATTTACTTAACAAGCATATGTGGCAACTTGTCTAACTCAATCTATCGAATTTATAGCAATACCCCCTTAAGAATTCATGACAATGTCGGTTTTACACTGTTGAAATCTGTCATATGGAAATCAAATACTACCTCTGTGCAACGATTTGACATAAAGCAGCGAGGGAAAATATCTAATCATTGCACATAACCTGTAACGGAGGTAGTAGATCAACTTGTATGATATAAAATAAAAGAACGATTAGAGGTCAAACAAAGACTGAGGATTGATGATACAGTTCCATCTTAGACTCCTGCCTTGCAAATTTTATTAGTAATTATTGTTATAGACAAGCTAATAAAGAGATGAACTGCAGAGTGAAACACCGACATCAATGCCTTTCTTCTATTTTTCAGTTTGTATTCCTTCACTAAACTCTAGGGTATGCTTATTTCCAGATTGAAAAGAGAAGAAAAGATGAAGTATGCACTTGACACTCAAATTACATTTATTTACACAAATGTGCAAATATTATTGGTAAAATCTACACTATGATACAAATATAAGTAGTGGGAGATTTGGGTAGAGTTGACACCCCAGGTACCACAGCTTACCAGGGTGCTTCTAATAGAGAGACATCTAGATAAATACTCGCATTTTGCAACCAAACTTAGTATCACACTCTATCCCACTGTGTTAGTATCACAGCTTACCAGGGTGCTTCTAATAGAAAGACATCTAGATAAATATATGCTCTTTTGCTTGTCGATCAAATGGATCTTCACCAATGTATAAATCCAGTACTGATTGACAAAGAAGTTTGCTCTCAATGCTCCCCACCTCATCTCCGTTAACTGCAAAAGTTCAAACATATATTTATGCAAGTACAAACTAAATATCTAACTTAGCAATCATACTTTTATGCAATATCAGTGTAACTACTCACTTTGAGGAAGTTCAATTACTCACTTTGTTTCTTTTTATTTGTTACATTTTGACTTGTACGGTCTCCAATGCACATCTTTGACCACAAACATGTTCAATAGGATATGTAAAAAATAGATATTTTAAAATTTAATTTCAATACAAATCTAACAATATTCTAATTGATATGGTTTTGATCTTTATAAATCTTGTAGTCAAAGTTTTTAAAGTTGACCACACGTCAAAACGTAACAAATAAAAAGAAACACAGAGAGTGGTATTTAACCATTTCACAACATGCTTATTGGACAGATGAAATAACATACGTAGTAAAAAAAAAAAAAAAACCATTCTCTTTCCTTAAATGTATATAGCCCCTCTCATATTCAGTTCCATTACTTCCATATAGGAGTAATGGCTTCTTAAATAAACTTGCTACGCAAAATATTTATACTGAGAGAGAGAGAGCTTACTTTTTGTGCGAAGCACATGACCATGCTCCCTGGACAACTCTATAACAGAACCCTTTGGTATTTTCATTTCATCTTTGAACTGAGAAGTAAATCTGCAATGAACCATATGTTAGCTCAATCATGCTCAATTGATAATGCGTTCCTTACAATATAGAAAGTCTCTGCTCCATTTTGGTCCTTGTTTATAATTTACTTCCTCTATTCCATTTTAGATGACAAATTCAATTTAGGCTTGGACATTGAGTTGATTAAAAAGGAATATGCGTCGACTAAAAAAAAACTTCCCAAAAAGGAATACGTGTCAAAAAAAAAAAAAGGTAGTATAATGTTCTTGGCCATTGAGTTACTAATTATTTTTATAAACTTCTTCAGAATCTACCAAGAGTACCAACTATGTGCTCCAATATAAACATAATAATCTACAAGGGCGATTAAGTACTCATAACCCTATCAGTTGGACCATGACTCTGTGAGGTGTAATAAACGCACATGCCCTACCATCAAAGCCACTTAAAACTCTGCTTCCATGATGGTCAAAAGTAAAAACCTTCTGGTTGACAAATGCTTTATCCATAGCATATATAAATTACCCTACTGCTCAATGGATTTCAAAAGGTTTACAGCATTTATTGACCAGAGATAATCTCCTTTGAAAATTGTACAATTATTTTTACTTTAACACTCTTAAATAAATAGCACTTTGAATTAACTGTCCTCCAAGAAAGTTGACTTGTATAGTTATATATGAAGTACTTACTCTATTTCTTTATAGTAACACACCATTTTGGCACGGCGGTTTAATAAAGACATTAGAGTATTAGACTAAATTAAATAATCTTAACATTGATTTTAAAAAGAAAGAGTTAAATTGTTATGGTTTAAATTTTTTAGATTAATCCATCTGCTTACCTTCTCTATTCCCTTCCTTAAATAAAACGCTAAGAAGGTGTATTGCAATTATAAAGAAACGGAAGAGGTACATAAATAAGAAAGCACAAAAAGTAAGCAAGATTTATGTATGGCATAGAATAACTAACTACCAAGTCTTGCAGCTAAAGTTAAGATGTCCTCATCCAGTCATCCACCCAAATTTCCTTGTGCAACAACTTAGGGTTAGATGAATGGATGCACAAGGAGCTGTAATGAGCCAGTACCAGATTGCACCATTGATCACAGGATGATGGTGCACCCAACTTTCCTTGCACAACAATTTGTAGTAAGGTGCAGAAGGGCAGAGTTGTAATGTACCAATACTAGATGGAAGTATGGCACCATGGCCTACGAGTTAGTGGTGCTGTGCACTGATTAAGTAGGATGGCAGTGAAACAATGTGAGGTTGAGGTATAGCATGGGAGGAGGAAAGCAGAAGGAATGAATTTGATTCACACGTAAAATTCAATCAGAAAATGTCCTTTATAGTTCACAATGAGAGTCTCTAAATTTTTTTGGAAAGTTTTGTTCAAGTTGTTAAGAGTTAGAATTACATACATTACAAAGTTAATACAAAGTAAAAGATTTTCCAAAGTTAAATCTGAAAATTTTGACAAAGATTCACCAAAATGTCCCATTATACTCTTTAGAATAGTCCTCAATTTTGACTTATTATTCTGAATACATAGGAGCTTTCCATAATGCTACAGCTACTCAGCAATTGACTTGTTAGAATGCTGCCGCAATTTTGTGCAGCATCAAAATGGTTGTTTATCATACTAAAAAAAAAATGAAATATGAAGAAGTGAACTTTTATGAAGAGCGGGACAGGCAGCAGAAAGAAAAAAAGGAATGGATGAATAAAGTTGAGTGATTAGCCCAATTATAAAGAGCAATTGAAAATGGTGAAACTATAAGAGTATATGACTTCAAACAAATTGTTATACATAGTAAAAATTGATTGGTGGAATAAGGCAAATAGTCACAAAAAATAATGTTATAAGGTACAGAGTAAACAGTATTGTTTGAATTTATAGTCCCAAACAGAAGTTTATGCCTAAACATCAGGTAGTAAGCATAAAAATTGACATAAATTAAAGCTGGCAAATCTAAGGTATGATTAGAAGATGGAAAGAGTGCTCTAGAGCCTCTGAATTGTAGAAGCTTCAAAAGCATACCAAACACATTGTAATAGATTTTGAAATTGACTAACTGAGTTACCTGTGAAGCAATTCTTTGTTATCATCCACCCCAAACTTCTGAAGTCTGCTTC